TATATATATATATATATATATATATATATATATATATAGTATAATATTTTAGTAAAATTCCTAATCTGTTGAACCCATAAGAGAACTTACGCATTGTACATATATTCAAACACCCTGGAAGAATTTCCCTAGGTTTTCTTTCCAGGTAGAGAAAGTTACCCAGAGCCACCTGTACAGACATTTAAATTCTGAGGCTGTGAAGAATGGAGAGCTTGCAGTGCTGATACTGTATGGCCAGGGTGGCCTGGCCACACCCCCCTTCCTTTCTTCCCACCCCCTACCCCCACCAGGCAGACCCTGGCTGGGGTCAGTTTGGGTCAGGGTGGTGGCTCTTAACCTGCCCCCCCAGTCATAGTCAGGCTGCCGGGCCAAGCCAGGGGTTGGCCATGCCCCCTGCTTCCAATTGAGTAGGGAGCGGGGGAAAATCCTCACCCCATCCTCACCCCTACCAAGCAGACCCCAGCTGGGGTCGAGTGCTAGGGTCTCCTGCCCCACCCTCTTCTCTGCTAGCCAAAGCAGTGATACTGCTCCAGTTAGGGAGCTGAGGGGTGGGACAGACACTACTCTGCTGGAGCAGATAGCACAGCACAGGCCAGGGCTGCAAAGCATCCTGGGATGCTGGAGGACTGTGAGTTAACTTGAATCAGGAGGAGATCTGGGACAGAAGTTCCATAAACCAGTTTGACCTAAATTGGTTAAGTCTGGTGTTACATTGAGCCAGGTTTATCTTAAACTGGTTTCAGCCATTTTGAAAGCAGTTTATGTACACTGAACTTCTGTTCTATTACAGGTTTAAACTGGTTTCTGATCACTTAAACTGGTTTATGTGTAACTTCTGTCCCTAGCCTTGGAGTTTGCTCACTATACTCTAGCCAGGGAACTTTCCTTGGCCTTTGACCTCATTCTCTATATCATTGTAACTTGTACAGTCATTTACATATCTGTAAAATGAGTTTAGAATGCTACTGAATTAACAGTTACAGCCTCTACTGGCTCTATTCATTTTCACATTCCTGTTACACAGGGGTGAATGATATGAAAGGCAATGGAGGAACACAGGCCTTCTGAGTCTGAATTCTGTTCATGCATCTTCCTAGAGCTGGGCATGCACATGATCATTTGTATTTGTCCACTCACAGTGCACTGGTTTAACTGCAGATGTAGTTTTAGGCAAGTTCAGTTAAATTTGTGCAAGAGGGTGTTTGCTTTATATACTGGGACTCTGTTTCTCTCTGTTCAGGCTGAAAGCGTTCCAGCGAACAAGTTTACTGCTGGGAATTTAAGTTACAATTGTAGAATTTTTATAGAACCTGACTTTAAAATATGTACTCTTGAATATTCTTACTGGTAATGTCAGCCTAAGTGTCATATTTGCCCGATCAAAGTACAAATATGTGACTTCTATGTCCAGTCAAAAAAATTGGAAGTTTGAATTGCAAATACTGCATGGCCAAAGCACAAATCATAATTAAAGCTTGTTGGGAAATTTTCTGCCAACACTGTTTTTCACTGAATAATCATAAAGATAGATAAATGCATAGAAATGTTATGTGGAAAATGGTCTCTGTTTTCAAGAAACCTTACTGAGAGTAAAACGATTGCAAACATTGCACATGCTGGAATGTGCATCTCTGCATAAAACAGTTGAATGTTTCTGTACAGTGAACACATTTGTGAAAATCATGTTCTGTTCACAGTCAGTTTGCTAAATTAGGCTACAGTCCTGATAACACTGGTGCATATGAGTAATTTTCTACAAATGAGTAGTTCCATTGAGTTCAGTATGACTACTCATGTACGCAGACTTAAGCCCATGCATGAAGGTTGGCAGGATTGAGGACTTAATTTGGCAAATAAATTGTCAGCTGTGAAGAGCTTGCATAGCTCTTCTTTTAACCCTGTAATGAATTCTTGGCTCAGAATAATTTTGAGTATTGCCTGCTTCTGGATATCTAAGATTACAAGCTGTTCTTTCAAAACACTGGGTCTAATTGAGGCTGTTTCTTTTATTTTGTCTTAGCAACAAGAGCAAGACCCTACAAATCTATACATCTCAAATTTACCGATTTCTATGGATGAGCAGGAACTGGAGAACATGCTGAAACCCTTTGGACATGTCATTTCCACCAGAATATTAAGAGATGCTAATGGAGTCAGCAGAGGAGTCGGCTTTGCCAGGTGAAACGCTTGCCTTATTTGATTTATGCTTTTTTTTTTTTTTTTTTTGGTGTCAGCTTTGGCTCTTTACAGATGCTGTCTTCTCTAAAGCCATATAGCTAAGAATATGCAAAGCAGTAAAGAGACAGCAGGTTTATCAGACTGTATTGTCTGTAGTTTCCATTTATACAGAGCATACCAATGTAAAAGGAAAAGTCAGGACTCACAGTAGAGATGATATCTTTTATTAGACCAGCAAGATTTTTGCAAAGGAAGTTTTGTTTCACTAGTCTAAAATGTGT